AGAGTGTACAGCTCTTTCATTTGTTTTAAATAGCCAATATAATTGTGGTTATCAAAACCGATTGGTCTATAGTTTTATTTTTTTATACTAATTTTAATCTCACAAATTCACAAGCAAAATTCTAATCATGGTATTAGAAATAGGGTCCAGCCATGCATCAAATTGCTCTAGCAGAGAACAAATTCCGAGATGCAACGATGGTTCGCTCCCAAGAAACGAGTCAACATTATATATAACATAAATTAAAACAAATTCATATTTTCAATAAATGCTAAAAAGGCATTTAATTAAATACAGCATTCTTAATTTTAAAAAAATAAAATTAGGAATAGAAGGAAACTTTTTAAATCTAATGAAGACTATTTCCCAGAAACCGAGAGCGAATTTTGCCTAAATGACAAAACACTAAAAGCATTTTAATTAATCTCAGGAATTAGACCACAATGTCCACCATCACTGTAATTGGCAAATCTAGGAAATGTTCTATGACAAGAAAATGAAGTAGATTGAATAAACCTACCTTCATCTCTGGGGGCCACAGTTAAGGAAACCAGGGCTTTCAAAAGCTGCTCTCAGAAAGGTCAACTGGCACAGCCTTTGTGGTAAGCAATTTGGTACTATAAACAAAAGCCTCAAAACAGTGCTTCTTGATGCAGCAACTTGACTTCTCGGAACTTACGCAAAGGCCAGCATCATGGATATAGACAAAGATTTAGCTACAATGTTATGTGTTACTATACTATTCATATTTGTAAAACATTCAAAATATCCTATTAGCAAAGCATTAAAAATGATTCTAAATATCCAACACTCAGGAATTGGTTACACAAACTTTGCTATGAGAACAGAAAGGTGTTTCTATGAAGGAGGCCCACCCCACCCCTTCAAGGCCCTCCCCCAGCAGCCAGTGTGTGAACCTTTGGCATCTTCTCTAATCCTGCCAAGCACTTGCCTACCCACTCACACCCAGGCCCAGCTTTTAGCTGCCTCTCAGCCTGTCCCACTGGGTAACTTGTCCCCTGCCCTTCCTCAAGTGTCACCTCTTAGCTGGCTTGTCCACCCTCTGAGGGAGATGCTCAGTCTTCTTAACCCAAATGACGTTGATATCCAGCTACATATTTACATCTTTTGAAACAAGCCCATAGAGCCAAAAAATTTGAGAGGTTCGATAATCGTCTTGGCACTAATGTGCCCAGCCACGTGCTGGTACACAAGGCCAGGGAAGGAACTCACAACTCCTTGGAGCAATGAGGCTGATGTGCCCACATCACTTCAACAGCCCATGGTACTGTGTTTTGATGAAGTAACCTCTGAATGTAGGGTGTCAGAGTAGTGAAGCGTGAATGACACTGACCGCTGACAGCCTGTAATTTTCCATCTCTATTATAAGCTAAAATGACAGGCCTGCTATCAAGCAATGATTGCGTGGCTTCTTGGAATTCTCTAGCATTTTCCCCTAGACTCTCTAAGATCCAGTTTCCTAATGCCGATGTTTTCTTCATGCCCAGTTCTCTGAATTTTTCCCCATGGACTTGCCATGGAAGTATCACTTGGCCATTTTTTTAAAATCACAGGAAAATAACCTAATGCAACTTAGGAACTTTAGAGTTGCCCCGAGACTGAAAATGACAGCTCTCATCATTTCGATCCAGCATTCTGCCTGCAGACCCCCCAGGGAAGCATGATCCGGAAATGACTCCAACATCAAACCTGCCCGAGGAGGCAAGCAGGTGCTGTTTGTTTTGCCATAAAAGGGCCAGAAGGCAGTCCTGTTCAGAAAAAGAAAAACATCCAGAGCTCCAAGCCTTGGGAGTCACAGAGCCCCACCCAAGACTGTCCTTGGCCTCAGACTGCAGCAATCTGGACCCTTTCTTCTGTGCACATGGCCAGAATATCAAGGTCAGGAGAAGGGCCTCACCCCCCTGTTCAGAGCCTAGCCTCTGCCTCCTGTCCTGCTCAGAGGGTCTGGGCTCGTCCTTGGGGCCCTCAAGCCAAAAAGCTGTCCAAGTACCTCACCTAGCTGCAGGTCTAGGAGTTGGAGGCTGACAAGCACATGCAGAAGGCAAGGGGACGCAGGCTGTCTGGCTGTGTGTCCAGCCGGCCCAGGGCCCAAGGCCTCAGTAGCTAATGGACAGATGCCCAGCCTGCCCACACAATCTTTCTGGAAGGACCTCCAGGCCACTCCTTCATCCTCTCTAACCTCGGACATCCCTCGGCTCTCTGCTCTGCACTGCCAGCATGCCCATCCCTGATGCAGACACAGCAAGGACACACGTCAGGGGATGACTCGAGTTGCCTCCTGCCAAATCCACAGGGAAGAAAGTGTAACCTCCAGGGAAACGGAGGCAGCCGTGCTCTGTCACTACCAATTTGTACCAAACGCAGGGCCTAATTCTTTCTTTCGCACAGCAAGTCCCCTTTGTGAAACTGGAACCTCTCCCCAGCATTCTAACTGCAAGGCCTCTACTGGCCTGACCAGCATCTCTGAGTGGTGTCTCTGCAGGATTCCTGCTTTCTCTAACTATGGAGTCGCAGCTCTCTGAGAACGCCTCTGTGAGCCGTATCTGACAGATATTCCCAACAAATCGGCCCAGGAGCCTGACATCAAACAAAAATAAAGAACCAGTAAATAGTTCCACCATTTAACATTTTCATCATTTCAAAGCTCCTTTTCCTAGGGTGGCCTAGGTGTTGAGAAGTGGAGCTTCCCTGTTGTGGGGGAGATTGTCTCTGAGCGGAATGATGTTTCAGTTCTGGGGACCTCCCTCAGAAGCTCCAAATGGTCCCAGCAAGTCCCCGCTCTGCCATCACCATGGCTGACAAGGTAGAGCAGACCAGAGCTGAGCGAGCAGGAGAGAACAATCTAGGCACTCACTTCTACCCCATCACTTCCTCTCCCAGGAAGGCTGGGTCCTGCCTATGATATTCTAGAGCAGCTCTCACTCTCCTCCTGCCCCCTCCCCAAGACTGTGGCTTGTCCATCATCTCTCTCTAGCAGCCTGTCTGCTGGGGGTCTCCAGCAAAAAATGCAGAGGTCTCCAGGTTCCCACGCCCCGGCTTGGGTGGGCCCTCACAAAGACTCTTGGTCTGTGCTGTAGGTGATCACGGAAGCCAGCACCGGCCAGAGTCAGCACCTCATCCGCACACCCTTTGCAGGAGTGGACGATTTCTTCATTCCCCCAACGAACCTCATCATCAATCACATCAGGTAAGGCTGGCCAGCGAGGCCCTAAGGGACTCCATGCTCCAGCTGTGCCCTGCTCCCGTCTGCCTCCCCCAGTCCTCCCAGGCTGGCTTTGAACCCCATCAGAAAGGGACAGAGAAACTGACCCATCCTTCATTATTAAAGTTCAGGAAGGTGCCCAGCTTCTAATGCCCTCGGGGGCCCAGTGAGGTCAGGAAGTGTCATCCTCAAGGTGAAGACAATAGAAGAAAGGAAGAAACAGCAGAGTTAATTGAGCACCCTCTCCTTGCTAGACACTAAAAACTAGTAGAGGTGCTCGCAAACCTATTTTGCAGATGAGGAAACTGAGGCTCAGAGAAGTTAAGATACTAGCCAAGGTCACACAGCCAGGAATTGGCAGAGTCAGACTAAATGCAAAGCCAGGCTACCTTTCAATGCCCCATTCTGCCTCATTCTCTGCTAATTACAGCCCATGGTTCTTCTCAGAGCCCCCAGAGCAGCCATGCACAGGGCACACAGGAAACGAGGCCCCCTGGGTGCCTGGTTTGCCACCATCCAAAAGAACAAGCTCATAATAACAACCATGGCCTCAACAGCAAACCTCATCCCCACCTGCCTGCTCCCCCGCCCTATTCATTTCAGAGCACCTCCCACACTTTCCATCCAGTCACCACTACCAGAAAACTAAGCCTGCCCTTTAGAAATGCATCAAGACCCAATGGTCATGTGGCACTATTTATGCCTTCCTTTAATCTCACATCAAGAACCTTCCTACAGGAAGAAATGACTCACTGTTGCAAGCTGATGCTGGACTGGTAAAAATAGGACATGCCCGTTTATCCTTGCCCAAGGAAGAAAATAACCACTTTATGGCCACCCTCTGCAGAGAATGCTGGGGAAGAGCCTCTAACGTGGTTCAAAATGGGGTCACCCACTCAGAGCCCTGAATTCTGCTGGGAACTGTGCAAACTCAGACTCAGCAGGTCCTGTGTGTGGTTTTCACATTAAAGTTCCCTATAAGAGTGTCGTTTTCGTTCCTGCTTTGTCCAAGCTCTGGCTCTTTAAGGATGCTTTAAAGATGCTTTAAAGTGGGCATTTTCTCCCCTCTGAGGCACAGTTACTCAAGAGAAAATTGTGGAAGGGATGTTCCTCTATTCCCATAGGTGCACACGGCATCCTATGACAGGGTCTGTGAGAGGCTCTCAAGGTTAAAGCCAAGTTCTGCCTGGAGCCAGGCCTTCTGGCAGCTTGCAATTGGGTCCCCACCAGGAATTTCAGGCAGTCCAAATATGAGCTGCTACCACCTACTGAGCCCTTCCAAGAAAACTTCCTCTTAGATGTAATCCTCCCAGCAGGCCTACAAGGGAATATCCTCTCCAGATTTGCAGAGGCTCAGACAGGCAAGCAACTTGCCCCAGGCTCCGCAGCTAGCAAGGCACGGGGGCAGGGCCGGGCCTCTGGCTCCAAAGGTGGAGACTGCTCTCAGCCCCTGCCCAACGGGTCCTTCTTCCAGCATCATAAACATGGCCGGAGAAGAGGCTGCCCGCTCCCACTCCTCTCCCAGAGAAAGGGAGCTCTGATAGGAAACTTGGGCTGCCTGCTTGCATCTGCACCCTCAAATTCTGACTCACCAGTTAGTCCAGAAAACTGCTAGGATGGAGGCTCTCCTATCCTGTCCCCACAGCGGGCAAAGCCAGGGCAGACAGTGCTGGTCCTTTCCCTCCAGGCTCAGGCCCACCACTTCCCAGCCAGCCAAGGCCTTGGGAGGCTGATTCAAAGGCATCCATCCCAACGGGAGACACTGTTGGAGGCACTTTTACCCTCTTCCTTTACTGTGTCTAAAGATGAGTGCCTGTCACGAAAACATAAGACCAGGGACATCTGTAACTCACAGCATCTGGTTTGAGATCATAGGTGAACCTCTTGTGAAGCCATCCCCTGCAGACTTGGCAGAGCTTATCAAGAGTCTATTGGCTCATTGAAGGATTAGGATAGAGGGAAAAGGAAAGGCTGCGCTGGTGTCTCATGAACCATTGACAGATCCCTGACCCCAAGTGGCCCCCTGACCTCTGACCTCAGTCCCCCGCTCTCCCAGGTTCGGCTTCATCTTCAACAAGTCTGAGCCTGCAGTCCACAAAATCGACCTGGAAACGCTGATGCCCCTCAAGACCATCGGCCTGCAGAGGCACGGCTGCCTGCCTCAGGCCATGGCCCACACCCACCTGGGGGGCCACTTCCTCGTGCAGTGTGGGCAGGACGGCGCCACTCCCGCCGCGCCACAGCTGCTGATCGACAGCGTCACGGACTCCGTGGTCGGCCCCAACGGCGACGTGACCGGCACCCCACATGTGACCCCTGACGGGCGCTTCATCGTCAGCACTGCTGCCACCAGCCCCCAGCTGTACGTGCAGGAGGTCACGCTGCGCGGGGAGATCCGGACCCTCTACGCCCTGAAAATAAGCCAGGGCGTCTCAGACGTGGCCTTCCAGCGCTCCTTTACCCAAAGCAATCAGTACTACGTCTACGCCACGCTGGAGACAGAGCCGGCGCTGCTGTTCCTGGAGCTGCCCACGGGGAAGGCGGGCCTGCTGAAGAACTTCAGGGAGCCGCCCACGGGGCCAGCCCGGCCCTGGGGAGGGCCCCGCAGGGTGGTGAGGGACAGTGGGCTGTTCGGACAGTACCTTCTCACGACAGCCCAAGAGTCACTATTTCTCATCAACGGGCGACAAAACGCACTGAGGTGTGAGGTGTCGGGCATAAAGGAGGGCACCACAGTGGTGTGGGTGGGCGAGGTATGAAGGGGGCCAGCGCAGAGCCTGGGCCATGGAGCCCCGCCTCCTTCTGCCACCGCAGCCCCAAGCGGGTGCCCTGTACATTTTCACAGACAAAAGCAAAAACCTGTATTCGCTTTGTGGTTCAACACTGGTCTCCTTGCAAGTTCCCTGGTCTAAGGTGTGCGCTGCGAGCCGGATCAGGGGTTTTTTGTTAGGAAGTATGAGGTATGCCTCTAGCTACCACGAGAACCCATGCTGCTGTGTAAAGAAGTCATTTCTGTGCCCAGCTACATGCCATGTTACCTGGGGACGCCGTGGGACCGAGAGCTCCTGCTTTCCAGGCGGACACTTCCGTAGGTTGCCTTCACACAGTCACTCTCCTTTACCGCCAGATCCAGCCAGACTTCGCTCTGATGGGTGGCCTGAAACCGGCCTGGAAACACAGGCCTTCCAGGAGCAGGGAGTCCCCCTCCCGGCACGAGAGCCACGGCTGTCCTCACTCTGCACCTTTATTTCTCCTTCGCAGCTGCTTCTTGCTTTTTTTCTCCATTTGACTTGTTGGAAGCCTGAGAGAGAGCCAACGAGACTTACTGCATCTTGGGGGATGGGGAAATCACTCACTTTATTTTGGAAATTTTGATTAAAAAAAAATAATTTTTTATAATCTCAAATGCTAGTAAGCAGAAACACACACTCCGAAGTCCAGCTCTATTCTTCCCTGCCTTAGGCCAAGTCTCTGAGAGTCACCCCCCTCCATCCCACACACACATCCCACAACCAGAAAGAACAATTGTCATCAAAGAATATTAGTCTTCTACAGCATTGACACCCCCAAGTACAGATCAGGCTACCACATTGTTAAAGACTCCGTTCTGGCTTGGAACCCAAAGAGATTAGGACACTTTCACCACTGAAGGGGGAGGGACATTTATTAGCCAGGCCCAGAATCCCAGGTTCAGGGCAAACTGGGCTTGACTGGCAAGGTGTGAGCAGCCTGCGGGATAGTGACCTCCAGGCCAGCGCAGAAGCCCCAAGGACATGAGTGGGGTCCAGATGGGTTCCTTAGGCTATCTCTTTTAAAAACCGATTTCTTTTCTGCCTGTGGCCCTCGCACTCAGCCCCGGTGGCCCCAGCCCCTGCATCATCACAGAACAGCTAGCTTAGTAAGTGTTCTCAGTAAGTGTTTATCTTACACACAGGCCCCTCTCCCCCAAATAACCTGTACTCTAAAACTCAGAATCATAAGGATATGGGTTGGGTT